ACAAGCTACAACCTGATCTACTCTGCTAACTGTAGCTAGTACGGATGAACTGTTTATGGACACTTTCTTGCTATTCAGGTTCAGCACTGAAATTACTACAACATCCTTATCAGGCTGGACAAGACTTCTAGCCACAAATATTCCTTTGCTTCGCCAATATTTATTTGGCTCAACCAACCCCAATTCAGTACCAAATGAACCCTCAACTGTGCATTTGATTAATTTCTCAGAATTCTGGGGAACAACAACCTTGTCAACAATTCTAACCCGCGAACAACTACCTGTGTTCAGTTTGTACAACTTGAGTTTCCCTCTAGATGTAGACAGTGTCTGTCGTCTCACATGTACCTCACCATCATAATCCTCTAGGAAATCCATGCCAAGAATACTACCCATGGTACCCAAGTCTGCAACGACAAACTCTTGTTGAAACGTCACACTTCCAACACAAAACTCAAAACAAGCAGAACCATGGACAACCATAGGCATACCATTGGCCGTAAAGAAATCCTTGTGAACTTTCTTCAAACTAATGCTCTGAAAACCCAGTTTAAGAACATCATCTTGTGACATAATTGAGACAGGAGACCCTGTATCCAACAACATTCTAGAGGTAAGCCCGTTCACCAAAACATCTGTATACAAACATTTCTGAGGTTTCAAAGAATGTAAAACAATTTGTTCCCGTGAAACTGATTCACTGGAGCAAGTTGACGAAGATGACTTCATCGGTTTCCCTTTACCAGATAAAAAGAATTTTTCCTCTAACCCATCACCATTGAGTACAGATTGCTTCACCAAGGGATCAACACTATTCCCCTTCCACGAAGGTAAATCTACCTGCACTCCTATATCAACAGTAAAAACAGTTTTTTCCACCCAAGCTACATCTTCATCTGGCCTACAAATTTTCCCAACATCGGCTGAGACCTCGGCCTCGACCCCAGCCTTTACTAGTTTCCCATATCTGTTTCCTTGATATCTGATCGATCAAGCAAACCCAGTTTTGATAAGTATGGACATCTATCGCGAAAGTGACCTGATTGATTGCAGACATAGCAGGTATTAGGCCTGGCACTTCTGAAGCTACGTTTAAACTTTTCCAAGCGATCATCTATTAACTTTGTGACTGCCTCCAGTGTCAACCCACCACTATCAAGTGGTTGCCTAATTTGGTTCACTCCTGCCACCCTGTCTAAACTTTCAGGTTTCTTTTTCCTGCTACCATCAACGGCTTCGAACTCCATGGCATATGAAATGGCGTTTTCAAGCGTTTGTGGATGTGCAAATGTAACATGTTTTCTCATGTCAAAGCTATGCAGGCCAGTTAAAAACTGATCAATCAAATGTACCTCAAGTGATGAAGGGGTGCTGGTAGGGTAAGCTAAATTTGCTAGTCTACGGAGTTCAAACCCATAATCCAGTACGGCCTCGTCACGACCTTGACGACGATTTCGAAATTCACTTCTGTAGGCTACATTCCGCTCAACCGGATTAAAACGTTGACTCAAAGCATTTTTCACTGCCTGATAACTGCTGAGTTGCCCTAACGTAAGACTACTCAAAAGTTTTTGTGCTGCACCTCTCAAACACATACTAAGTTGTTGAGCCTTTTCATATTCTGACCACCCATTCCATGAAGCTACTTGTTCAAAATGAACAATAAAATCCTGCCAATCACATGATATTCCATCAAATCTTTCAGGCACAACTTCACGATGAGATAACCTAGACTTTTCAAACCCCGTCAAAACAGTTCCGACTGGATTTGGTTGTCTTAAACAATTCCAACCTCTAGAATCCGAAAAATCAGTATGCAACCCGTCCTGTATTTCTGGTGTACTGAAATGCACAGAACGACTACCACTCATGATTCCATCTGATATATGACCAAACAACCGATGATCTGCATTCTGAAGTGCACCATAAGCTGATGGTAACTGTGTATCCCTGCCCATCTGTCTTAAACCGACACCATTTCCTATTTGAGAAAGAGGTGAATACGGCGTAGAAGTGGGATACATATTTTGCCGAAATGGGGGCAACTCACTTGTCAAATCGATAAGTGGTTCCTCCAAATTACCACTGGCACTACCACGAAACTGACCATCAGTCTCGGACAACAAAGAACAATTTAGACCTAAATCTTCAGACATGTTTTTGGTAGACTACACTGAGAAAAATTGGAAAAAAAACCCTTATCCTGGTCTCGGCACCAAATCTGTAATAGGCGCCTAGCGCGTGAGTGTTGTAAAACAGACGCCCAGTGACAGCAGAACGTTGTATATGTATGACAAGTGTCGGTTGGTTACTGAAGTAAAATGCTTTGCGTTGTGTTTGTTAATTGGTCTCTTTACGTGGTCAGTACATCTTGTCTGCAAGTTCTGTGGGAATGGTTCCTGGCGGGTTCTCCCAATTCAACTCAATTAAAGTCAGAACAAACAAATATTTAGGTTTCCATTCTTGTTTATTGTGAAAAAAAACGTATTAATCTAAACAAGCCTACATATATCTACCTACCTAAATCCTACATAAATACAGTTTAACTTTGGTTTATGTCCACCCCCTAATACCTACTCCCGAAAACAACAAAACAAAACCTACTCATTCCTATACTATTTCTCCCCCTTCCCAAGCTAACACTAAATCAACACGACATCCCCAAAACAACAAACAATACGTGGAAACTTTAAACTTGGTCTTGAGCCAAGACTCGGAGTCGCTAGAAACTTACCCGATGCGGGTATCGGACGACTGACGATTCCCTACCTAGGGTAGGCCTATATAGTCGACATCGGACCACGTGACTGGGGAAATCCAGATCTCGGCCAATGCGCACGCTCCTTGCATCTCTGCCCCTCAAGATGGCGGAGCATGCAAGAAGCGTGACATCGTCCTGTCTCCCCGGCCACGAGGTCCGCATGGGCCTAGGCTTCTACATATTTGACTACAAAGGTAGGTACTACGTCAGCCGCCCACCCAACTACCTAACCTTCCCCACCCACTATGAACTTTTGTATTTAATAAACTTTTATACCCCGAGACGCCCACACTTTCAATCTGCCTACCGATTCTTCCACAGCACGGAAACTGCGTTGCTGAAGGTTCAGAACGACATCCTAAGAGGCAGACACCGATGGAGCGGTCATTCTTGTATTGCTGGATCTCTCAGCTGCTTTTGACACTGTCTACCATTCTGTGCTACTCTCTACCCTTGAAAACAGGTTCAATGTCAAACATCTTGCGTTAAGGTGGTTTGCCTCCTACTTAACAGACCGGAAGCAGGCAGTTGTCATTCAGGGTGAAAGGTCAGAGGCAACGTACTTGAAGTTTGGAGTGCTTCAGGGCTCTGTCCTAGGCCCCCTACTTTTCACATGCTACACATCTCCCCTCGGTGATATTGTAAGTTCCTACAACTTAAGTATGCACCTCTATGCTGATGACACGCAAGTCTGCTTATCCTTCAAGCCATGTGACGCATCTTCAACCAAGTTCTCCTTTTCAAGAGTTGAAGAATGTGTTGAATGTGTTGATTGTATCAAGAGTTGGATGTCATCGAACTATCTTAAATTAAATGATGATAAAACTGAGCTCATTGTGTTCCACCCTCTTCGACTTCAGAAAGAGCTTCTGCTTCCACAGTTTTGCATCGGTGAATCTGCAATAACAATGCGCCCACATGTTCGCAATCTTGTTGTAATCTTTGACTCTGCCCTCAGCATGGAACCCCATGTCTGTCGCCAATCATATTTCCATCTGCGCATCATTGGTATGATCTGTCGATTCCTGGATGTGAAATCTGCACAAGCTCTAGTTCAAACATTTGTAACATCTCTCTAGGACTATTGTAACTCTGCTGTCTGGTGTGCCAAAACAAGTCCTCTACAGGCTATAGAAGGCACAAAAGTCAGCCGCACGATTGATCTGTCAAATTAAAAGGACTGAACACATCTCTCCTGCCCTCAAAACTCTACATTGGCTTCCAATTCGCTTCAGAATCGACTACAAAATCCTGCTATTTGTTTTCAAGGGTTTAAACGGTCTAGCTCCAAAATACCTCTCGGATCTCCTGACACCATATCACCCAACTAGATCACTCAGCTGAAGGGACCAATCTCTCCTTAAATACCACAAACTAGAACTAAGTCATATGGGGACGGGTCTTTCTCTAGAGCAGGACCCTTCCTCTGGAACAACTTACCATCCATCCTTCGTTCCGAAACAGAACTGTCAAATTTTTAAAGTGGACTCAAGACGCACCTATTCACCTCTGCACATGGATAAAGTGGACTCAGATAGCGCTTTTTTTACATTGATAAAAAGCGCTTTACAAATATTTGTATGTATGTGTGAATGTATGTATGTAAGAGTGTATAGCACTTCAGTCCTGCCCCACAACGAAGCACGTGATACATGTGGTCTCACCATAGGCAAGTGAGTTTGTTCAAAATTGCCTCTGTTCACCAAGCAGAAAATGGGTACCCAGTGAGATCAGTCATGTGACTATAACCTTCTAGTGCCTAACAGGCAGCTTGGGTTATCCAGGGTAATAATAATCAGCTTCTGATTACAGCGTCCAGTGAGCAACTAGTCAGATGGATACAAGGCGCTATATAAATGAATTATTATTATTATTTTCCTGCCCGTTTTTGATCATTAGGGCATGATTCTCGAGCACCTGGGGCTCAACAAGCTTCACACCTAGCAACAAATGAAAGTGGGGTGTCAACACACTCCCGACAGTGAGACTGCGGATCCTGTGGGGACATCAGTTTACCAGGAACTTTCCTAGTGGGGAAGGAGATATGAACACAAGTTTTAGAAAAAGGCAGTCAGGTGTTAGATTTTAACCTGTTGTTAGTTTGTCCCAGTCATGTGTTACAGCTGACTCAACATACTGTGTAAGTGCTGCTGAACTTGTGTTGTCAAGGAAACAGAATTACAATGTATGAACTACATAGTATGTGCTTGCTCCGGTAAACATAAACCAACAATAATGTATAGAAGCAATTTTATTGAGGATAAACATTCATAACATCACATTTTGATCTCTCAAAATGAAAGAGAAAGAAGAAAATATATAATAAATATAGATTGTATAACATGTAATTGATGATAACAGCAACTTAAAAGCTAAAAGGAAATACTATACCAAGTTAGCGCCTCAGCTTATGAGATCGGCTTATCTACGGTAACATGTGATATATTTAGGAGGAAAATCAGAGGTCTATAATGAAATTATAATAGCTGTAGGATTTCACGTGGAATACTTTAACCCTATACAGTGAGTATGTTTTGGAATTGTTATTATGTTGAGTAATATTACCATTTGTTTTTGAATAGATAAAACATGTAGAGCATTCATCAATGTCTGAAATAATGTGAATGTAACGAACACATCCATATGTGTTGTTTTACTTTTGATACGTGAACTTAAATCAACAGATATTGTTTTATTTTTTTTTAAATATTACGATAATGGCAGGATTATACTTTCTTTCCATTTAAAATTAAATGATCCTGTGGGAGGGTAAATGTCCCCCATTTCTTCTGGGAACAAAGACGGAGGTCGGTGTGTCCTTTTTCATTTCTTTATATCTATGTTGTTAAACCCTATATATTCACTTTCATTTCTCACAAGATGTTTCTATGACACACCAAAATTGGGTCAGCTATTGGCATACCAACCCATTTTGATCAGATTTATGTTTCTTGCCATTGGACTTTTAATGACTCGAAATGGCACGTAAACTTGACATCTTCTCTGCAAATTGCCAAGGCTTGAACAATGAAAAAAAGAGATTCAATGTGATTGAAAATATGAAAAAACTAATTGGTAACATGTATTTAATCCAGGATACAGACTCTACTGAAAATATTGAACAGAAAGTCAAATTAGAATGGTGCTCTTCAGAAACCTGGTGTACAGGCCATAGTATACCCTAGACCAAACAACACATGGGGTTAAAGCGGCCTAGGCTTGAATATACCCTGGATATATTATACCCTAGACCAAACAATACATGGGGTTAAAGCGGCCTAGGCTTGAATATACCCTGGATATATTATACCCTATACCAAACAACACATGGGGTTAAAGCGGCCTAGGCTTTAATATACCCTGGATATATTATACCCTAGACCAAACAACACATGGGGTTAAAGCGGCCTAGGCTAGAATATACCCTGGATATATTATGGCCAAGGCCAATTTATTCTCTGGGGTATGAATCGGCCTAGGCCATTTCATACCTCACAGGACAGATTATAAAAAGAATTACCCATGACATCTGAAGTGTTTATTAGACAGTCTTTTATTACTTCAACCAGGAATACCACAATCAGTAAAAATAAAAGATCAAAGATGTCCTGAAACTTTAGCTTCTAAGTCATCACTACTATGTAAATGTACCAAGTTAAACGCTGATAGCAACATCAAAATGACCAAGGTTGTTTTCAAGATAAAGTGCATATTCTCTCGTAGTTCAGACAGTCCATGGAGTCACCGACTTTTGAGTTTTGGGGTATCTCATGAAATACAATGATGTTTTGAATGAATTTTTTTTATATAATAGCATGAGATTAATAACTGTTTTAGCCTTTTACCCAATAGAATTTAGCTGTTGATATGTTGATCCGTAAGTGTATAAGACTGTAATACAAAGGACAGTAGATGTGGTAGGTGTACAGGGTTGTTGTAGTGTTACATTAACACATTAATGTGCCATACCAAATGTTTTCCCCATTTGTGAACATTAAGGTGTAAATATACTGTGTAAATACAGTCAAAGTCTCGTTGCACAAGAGGGATATATCGTGGCCTGGAGGGGCCTAGTCTAGCCTAGGCTGTTTTACACACCGGGTATATCGTGGCCTGGAGGGGCCTAGTCTAGCCTAGGCTGTTTTACACACCGGGTATATCGTGGCCTGGAGGGGCATAGTCTAGCCTAGGCTGTTTTACAAACCAGGTATATCGTGGCCTGGAGGGGCATAGTCTAGCCTAGGCTAGTCTTAGGCTGTTTTACACACCGGGTATATCGTGGCCTGGAGGGGCCTAGTCTAGCCTAGGCTGTTTTACACACCGGGTATATCGTGGCCTGGAGGGGCCTAGTCTAGCCTAGGCTGTTTTATACACCGGGTATATCGTGGCCTGGGAGGGGCCTAGTCTAGCCTAGGCTGTTTTACACACCGGGTATATCGTGGCCTGGAGGGGCCTAGTCTAGCCTAGGCTGTTTTACACACCGGGTATATCGTGGCCTGGAGGGGCATAGTCTAGCCTAGGCTGTTTTACACACCGGGTATATCGTGGCCTGGAGGGGCATAGTCTAGCCTAGGCTGTGTTACACACCAGGTATATCGTGGCCTGGAGGGGCATAGTCTAGCCTAGGCTGTTTTACACACCAGGTATAGAGCTTGGCCTAGGACAGTTTATTCCCCGGGATATGCTCTGGCCTGGACCAAACTATACCCGGGTATAATTTGTGCAGGGGCTAATCTGGCCTGTTACACGGGGTCACCTCACTGTGCCTGCACCTATTGTTCGAGGTAGAGGTTCAGTCGGACGTGGTACACCAGTTTAGTTCGTACTAGCCAATCAAGGGGAGCAGTTATATTATTTAGAGATAATTTTGAATTTGAAATTCTTAAAGAAATAAAAGACTGTGATAATGGCAACTTTCTGATACTTAAAATAAAAACAGAGAAAGAGATATTACAAGTGTTTATGGGCCAAATGTAGATATGCCCTACATTTATCATCAATTAAAAATGTAATTCTATGTCTAGAAACTCAAACATCAAATGCGGTGACTACAATCTAGTCCAAGATCAATCAAATGATATTTTCAACTATTTACATCTGTACTTGATGTGATGGATGAACTTAACCTTTATAATCCTTGGCAGGCAACAAATTTAGATGACATGTAATATCGTTACATATTGAGTTTACATCTCTCGAGAGAGGAAAGGGTTTCTGGAAATTTAACAACAGTCTGTTACATGATGCCAATATGTGCAAGAAATCCAAGGTATTATTAACGAGGCTGTAGATCAATATCACACTGGAGACGAAGATGGAGATAAAGTACTACAGATAAATGAACAATTTTCTTTCGATGTACTCATGTGCAATATTCGAGGCCACACAATAAAATATTCATCTCAGAAAAAGAAATATTAACACTAGAAGAATACAATGAAACACTCGAAAGTCTTGAAGTAAAATTAGACAGTACTGACAGTGAACAGACTAAAATATAATTGATAGAAGATATTGATATAATGAAAGATCAGCAACTTGAATTAAATAAATACAAAACAGAAGGAATAACATTCAAAAGCAAAATGATTTGAAAAAGGAGAAAAAACAACAAATTTCTTATCTCTGGAAAAACTTAAACAAAGCAATAAATAAGTTAGAAACTGATGGTGGACAAATAAGCGAAACAAAGGATATTATCAACCATGCAAAGACCTTTTTTCAAACTTTATATACCAGTAAACATGTCAAAGATGTTGATCTAGAATCTTTATTCAAAGATACTGAAATACCTAGATTATCTGACAACGACGCTCATTCTCTTGAAGGAGAAAGGCAATACGATGAAGTGCTTTCAGCATTGAAAAATATGAAAAAATGGTCCATCTGGTTTTACAGCTGAATTCTATAAATTGGTTTGGAAGGACATCTATAAATACCTAATCAATTCATTAAGTGAAGCATATAGGAAGGGTGAGCTATCATAGGTCAAACACAAGGTCTCCTGACATACATCCCAAAAGAGATCAATCTAAGGAACATTTGAAGATTTCAGACCCATTTCACTATTAAGCATATCATATAAATTAGCTTCAGCTGTGATATCAGCGTGTGTTAAAAACATACTTCCCAATGTAATATGGGAAGATCAAAATGGCTTTATGAAAGGCAGATATATTGGAGAATGTACAAGACTGGTTCTTCACATTATGGACAATACAGAATACGTGAAGAAACCACAACTTTGGATACTTTAGACTTTGAAAAAGCTTTCGATTAAGTGGAATGGTCCTTTATCGAGAAATGTCTTGACTTTTTTAATTTTGGACCATCTATCAAAATTTGGCTTATTCTTCCAAATTACACAGGGTTGTAGGCAAGGTGATCCCCTCTCGCCGTGTATATATTCCTCGCAGTAGCAGAAATCCTGGCCCACATGTTACGACAAAACAAAAAGATAAAAGGAGTAATGATGATTGATTTAGAATGCCTACTAACTCAATTTGCCGATGACACAACTAGTATTTGAGACGGGTCTGAAAGCTTATTCAGAGAAACATTTCAAGTACTTGAAACATACACATCCTTCTCTGGACTCAAAATAAATATTGACAAAACTAAAGTTATTCAAGTTTTCAATACTGCAGAGAATACTACCTTGACTGGACTCAAAAACCCTTTGTACTATGGGGCATTCTATTTCAATGTAATAAAACAGAAATGGTGGAAAAGAACTATAAAGATAAACTTAAAGTAATGAAAATGTGGACTCTGAGAGACCTTACACCTTTAGGAAGAATAACAATTCTAAAGAGCTTGATTTTACCATTAATCATCTTTTCACCTCACTAGCAAATCCTAAATTAGAAACGATGGTGAATCTTCAAAGACAATGTTCTCCTTTATTTGGAAAGGTAAACCTAATAGAATACAACAATGTCTGCTAACAGAAACATACCAAGAAGGTGGTCTAAAAGTACCACCTATCCTTGATCAGAAGATTATTTGTACATGACTCTAAATTAAATAATCTTTTATATACTTCACAACCCCATAGAAATGGGACCATTGTATCTGAAGACACATTATATTCCAAAACTCATCAGCCCATTCTGGAAAGACGTATTTGAAGCCTGGTCTGAATTACAAGGACAAATAAATATGACAATGGTCATCTCAGCAGACAGTACATATGGGCAATAACAATAAGGAGAAATCCAGTAGTATATGGCCATCTCAGCAGACAGTACATATGGGCAATAACAACAGGGAGAAATCCAGTAGTATATGGCCATCTCAGCAGACAGTACATATGGGCAATAACAATAGGGAGAAATCCAGTAGTATATGGCCATCTCAGCAGACAGTACATATGGGCAATAACAACAGGGAGAAATCCAGTAGTATATGGCCATCTCAGCAGACAGTACATATGGGCAATAACAACAGGGAGAAATCCAGTAGTATATGACCATCTCAGCAGACAGTACATATGGGCAATAACAATATGGAGAAATCCAGTAGTATATGGCCATCTCAGCAGACAGTACATATGGGCAATAACAATAGGGAGAGATCCAGTAGTATATGGCCATCTCAGCAGACAGTACATATGGGCAATAACAATAGGGAGAAATCCAGTAGTATATGGCCATCTCAGCAGACAGTACATATGGGCAATAACAACAGGGAGAAATCCACTAGTATATGGCCATCTCAGCAGACAGTACATATGGGCAATAACAACAGGGAGAAATCCACTAGTATATGGCCATCTCAGCAGACAGTACATATGGGCAATAACAATAGGGAGAAATCCAGTAGTATATGGCCATCTCAGCAGACAGTACATATGGTCAATAACAATAGGGAGAAACCCAGTAGTATATGGCCATCTCAGACAGACAGTACATATGGGCAATAACAACAGGGAGAAATCCACTAGTATATGGCCATCTCAGCAGACAGTACATATGGGCAATAACAATAGGGAGAAATCCAGTAGTATATGGCCATCTCAGCAGACAGTACATATGGTCAATAACAATAGGGAGAAACCCAGTAGTATATGGCCATCTCAGACAGTACATATGGGCAATAACAACAGGGAGAAATCCACTAGTATATGGCCATCTCAGCAGACAGTACATATGGGCAATAACAATAGGGAGAAATCCAGTAGTATATGGCCATCTCAGCAGACAGTACATATGGGCAATAACAATAGGGAGAAATCCAGTAGTATATGGCCATCTCAGCAGACAGTACATATGGGCAATAACAATAGGGAGAAATCCAGTAGTATATGGCCATCTCAGCAGACAGTACATATGGGCAATAACAATAGGGAGAAATCCAGTAGTATATGGCCATCTCAGCAGACAGTACATATGGGCAATAACAATAGGGAGAGATCCAGTAGTATATGGCCATCTCAGCAGACAGTACATATGGGCAATAACAACAGGGAGAAATCCAGTAGTATATGGCCATCTCAGCAGACAGTACATATGGGCAATAACAATAGGGAGAGATCCAGTAGTATATGGCCATCTCAGCAGACAGTACATATGGGCAATAACAATAGGGAGAAATCCAGTAGTATATGGCCATCTCAGCAGACAGTACATATGGGCAATACCAATAGGGAGAAATCCAGTAGTATATGACCACTGCCTACAATCCAATGATTTCCTAAAAGATGTCAGTACATTTCTTTCATATAAAGAATTCATATAACTGTATGGGGATCAAACAGATTTCCTTGAATATACAGGATTATTATCTTCATTGAAAACATATTCACAACAAGGTTCATTCAAAATTAATATTCAGAAATAGTATTCCTCCTAATCTGGAAACAATATTTAAAGCTAAGAAAGGATATAGCATATTTTACAAGCGGATTCTTCACAAGGAGGTTATAAACCAAAAACTGCTTTATAAAAGTAAATGGGAAAACGAATTGAACATAGATATCACACTTAATCTATGGAAAACATATAATTTTATACCATTTCGAGCATCTTATAGTGCTAAGCACAGATGGCTTCAAAACCGTATATACAACGTATACAACGCATTGCGGGGGATAATTACAATTACCAATTACATAAATGTAATGTCTATACTCACTGCAAATACCACACTCTTGTTTCAATTTGGTTGTCTTGCCACAATCTATTTACATAGATAACGATTGTAATTTGACTTGCTCTATATACTACAAGTGTTAACGTGTATGAAATGCTGTACCCTGATCTAAAAGAAAAAGTGAAACAACAACAAAATGTTCACTCATTTGGCAAGAGGGAGGATTACAACTTTCCCTTTATGTTAGAGCTGGCTAAAATAATCGATAACCGAGAGTATCATTGAGAGGAATTTTTTTATGATTATCGATATGAAAATTGTGTTATCGTTAATAGCGTACATTAACTTGTGTGATAGAAAAAAGTTTTAATTTTCTCACACTGTGCAATTTTACAACTTTGTTACAGATTATGTTCAGGACACTGTTTTGTTAATAATCCATGCAAAAATTGTCTGATTACAACATTCAAGGCCCCAGTAGGGCATTCAGTAGGTAGACGGTATACAGTTAGTTCACATTTCTGGACTTGATGCAGCAATGACACAAATAATGTCTGCTGCTGTTTCCTTTGTGACTGCTATCATATGGTCCTTTTTTCTGGTTACGCTTGACCTGCCTGTGCATGTGTTTATGATCCTTAAAACCTTCTTACAGAGCATCTCTGATGGTGTTATTTACATGGCGGAGAAGGGGGTGTTGGGCTGCAAGGATGAACTAACTGTTGGTTAAAAAGAATGATCCTTGAAGAGACAAAAGATTGCTTCAATTTCAATTTACTTGTCTTAGTTTTGAGTAACAATGAAGTATTTGTTCAACAGTCTTTGAAACATGGCGCTTCCAACACTTGCTAATATATGGAAAAACTGACCAAATTGATTTCAGGTTGACCGTTAGATATGACGTGTTAGGTCACAACAGATCGGGGATATCTCAAGCTAGGAAAATGTAATTTCATTATTGGTTACAGTTTTTGTTGCTCTGTAGTTTATTTCAGTACATCGATACATATTTTTTGGAAATGCAGTGATTATTTAAGAAAATATATATGTAAAATTAACTGTGATGACAAATTTTGTTAGAAAATATGAGATTATCCTGCTCCTGTCTATGTCTGGCTCTCTGATGACGGCGAGTTTTTTCCACTGTGTCATTTGGCAGGGCAATTGTAATCGAGGTGACGCTGATCTTTAAACTTTTTTTGCTGAATATTTAAAGCATCAACAAAGAATGTTCATGCAGTGGAGGCTTACATAGCCTCTCATTTCAGGCAGTAAAATTTGCCTTAGACATGGTGATATGTGGGCTATAACTTTATGGTTATGACAGACAGCAGATCTATACTAGCGTTACAATATCTCACATATTGTCTGATGAAGCTCGAGAGCATGTGTCAAGCTTTCCCTTCTTTACATCAGATTCAGGCAGCATTTCAGAAGCCTCAAGCTTGTCAGCCGTATCTGAAGACTGAAGGTGTCCAAAGCAATCAAAAATGTCATATTTCCTTGATATCCATCCCCTAGTAAACAATAGTTTGGTTCCTACTGACACCGATATTATGAGGAAGAATCCAATTACAGCAATCAGCGTGCGGAAGGGAAACAGCTGGCCATCCGTTGTGTTGTACAGGGGGTAGTGTATGATGGCAGGGAAGTTGATGAGCTTAGCGCCACTACACGCCCGCAGGATGAACGCCACCATAAACCCCACAAACGATCCATATGCGTTACAGCTGCTGATGTAGAGAACGCAGATGAACTGCGGGAAGAGAATGACGTACATCAAATCAGAGCAGAGGATGAAAAGTCCATATACACTCTTTACAACGATGGCGATGACAGCAGCAAGAGCACCCGTAACAACGATGGCCACTCTCATGACCCACACCATCTCCCGATCCAAGGCCTGCAACAGATGTGAAGCAGAAAGTACAGATACATTCGGACAGACATTAATGTAGTGAGATCTGTTTAAGTCTGACACCAAGATGCATGTTTCTGACACAACATCACTTCTACATCGATTGCAGGCGTTGCTTACTTTTTTTCTGATAATGCTCTTGTAGATGTTCTTGGTGAAGACTGAAGCCGTGCAGAGCGTGCTGGAGTCTGTGGATGACATGACGGCTGCTGAGACCGCGCCCAGTCCTAGGATGGACACAGTCATGGGGCAGAGATACTGCAAGGCCATTGGCAGGATAAAGTGCATCTGTTCCACGGTAAGCGGGATCTCACCCATATAACCAGTCTGATTCCAATCTGGGAATTAAAGTGTACATGATACTGATGTAACCTGGCTATACTGGTACAGACACACACACTGTCAAAACACTGTCACACATTATTTACCTCGTCTGATGTAACCTGGCTGTACTGGTACACACTGTCAAAACACTGTCACACATTATTTACCTCATCTGATGTAACCTGGCTGTACTGGTACACACTGTCAAAACACTGTCACACATTATTTACCTCATCTGATGTAACCTGGCTGTACTGGTACATACTGTCAAAACACTGTCACACATTATTTACCTCGTCTGATGTAACCTGGCTGTACTGGTACACGCTTTCAAAACACTGTCACACATTATTTACCTCGTCTGATGTAACTTGGCTGTACTGGTACACACTGTCAAAACACTGTCACACATTATTTACCTCGTCTGATGTAACTTGGCTGTACTGGTACACACTGTCAAAACACTGTCACACATTATTTACCTCATCTGATGTAACCTGGTACAGACACGCAAACTGTCAAAACACTGTCTCATATTATTTATCTCGTCTGATGTAACCTGGCTGAACTGGTACAGACACCACCACTGTCTAAACACAGTCAAACATTATTTACCTCGTCTGATGTAACCTGGTACAGACACACACTGTCAAAACACTGTCACACATTTTTTACCTCGTCTGAAGTAACCTGGCTGAACTGGTACAGACACCCAAACTGTCAAAACACTGTCACACATTATTTACCTCGTCTGATGTAACTTGGCTGTACTGGTACACACTGTCAAAACACTGTCACACATTATTTACCTCGTCTGATGTAACTTGGCTGTACTGGTACACACTGTCAAAACACTGTCACACATTATTTACCTCATCTGATGTAACCTGGTACAGACACGCAAACTGTCAAAACACTGTCTCATATTATTTATCTCGTCTGATGTAACCTGGCTGAACTGGTACAGACACCACCACTGTCTAAACACAGTCAAACATTATTTACCTCGTCTGATGTAACCTGGTACAGACACACACACTGTCAAAACACTGTCACACATTTTTACCTCGTCTGAAGTAACCTGGCTGAACTGGTACAGACACCCAAACTGTCAAAACACTGTCACACATTATTTACCTCATCTGATGTAACCTGGTACAGACACCCATACTGTCAAAACACTGTCACACATTATTTACCTCGTCGGATGTAACCTGGCTGAACTGGTACAGACACCCAAACTGTCAAAACACTGTCACATATTATTTATCTCGTCTGATGTAACCTGGCTGAACTGGTACAGACACCCACACTGTCTAAACACTGTCACACATTATTTACCTCGTCTGATGTAACCTGGTACAGACACACACACTGTCAAAACACTGTCACACATTATTTACCTCGTCTGATGTAACCTGGCTGAACTGGTACAGACACCCAAACTGTCAAAACACTGTCACATATTATTTATCTCGTCTGATGTAACCTGGTACAGACACCCACACTGTCTAAACACTGTCACACATTATTTACCTCGTCTGATGTAACCTGGTACAGACACACACACTGTCAAAACACTGTCACACATTATTTACCTCGTCTGATGTAACCTGGCTGTACTGGTACACACTGTCAAAACACTGTCACACATTATTTACCTCGTCTGATGTACGTACATGTATAAGGGTCAGTGTACATGTACACGTGCATACATGTACAGTGAAATGTAGCTCAACACCATTGATAACACCAAGCACAATGTACCTGCCGCAGATCCCGCGAACCCAATGACAGCAGGTGGTATACTGAGAAGAAGACACATGACTCCAGCTACGACTGATGATGCCACAGCTTGTCTTGTTGTACGGCAGGCCAACGTACGCTGATACATCTCCTATACAACAGACATGAAATTAACACAATTCCTGTTGAGCCAGCCAATCTTACCAAAACCTGGCATCAGGTTGAAACAGCAAATGTTGTGTTTTGTTTCACACCCTGGGTTAGCCAGTTTGATTTGAGAATGTGTTTGACAAGTTTTATTTGCAGTACAGTGAACAAAACTGTTTACAAATCCACAAGAAGTTTCTGTTAAAGCAGATCCAGTGTCTATACTTGTTTAGAATCACCATCAAATGATGATGATACTAAGTGTTTGTGAAATGTTGCGCCTATCCAGCCTCACTAGTGGCAACCAGCATAAACACGTGCAAAGGCAAGTCAATTGTTCACTGGAAGAATAGGAGAATATTTGGTACACATCAAAATGGGAAACTGCATCTGACAAAACTTTTGTCATTGAGGCATTAAATTTGGGCATCTCCTCCTCCTCTTGACTATGTTTAAGTACACTCAAAGGCAAAATCTATTGTGAGACACAAACAACACATGTTATAACATGGAAGGAGAAATGTTTCAAGGTTTAGTTACAATTAGTGGTGTAACGATTCATCGATAGTATCGATGTTTGCATCGTCCACTACGTGAGATGAGTGCATCAATACAAAACACATTTAGGCAATATATCAGGATATTTATGTCGTGAGGGCCCATGATACATCAATGTATCGTCACAAGAGACAATATATCCCGATACTACTTAAATACTACTTGAAGTTGTAAGGAGTATAGCATTAGGAAAAGGAAGGGCGTCTCAAATTGATTTTTTTTGTGTCTGTTATCTTTGTTACCTGAACAAAAGAGTTGGTGTTTTAGTGAAAGAGTGTGAACGTTTTTTCAAACTCTGTGAACTGTAGAATACTTGTCTTCAAATAATTGAAATATGTTTTAGTTATTTGACAAATAACACCATTTATAAGCAATTATGAACAATGTCTTAGGTGTGTTCAGAAAGAGAACAGAAATAAGATAACATTTAGAAAGTGGACTTTCTAGTGTTTTCCAGTGATTTTGAATTCTGAAGTAAACTGCATTGAATTGTTTGTTAAAACATTGGTGTAGAAACACAACTTCACAAGGGAAACTTCAGTTCCAAATTTATTTATATTGGATCAAGGTATACTGATTATGTTTGACTGTACTTTCTTAAGCATTAAATACTGAAATTTTATTAGATCAACAGCTTTTTTAAGTGTGTGTGAATGTAACACAAGTTCTACTGAATAACAAAAGTTTCAGTCATTTTATCTATGATATCTGTTCTGTTTTTAGAAATTGTAAAGTATCGGGATACATATTGTATCGCCACCATTGTATCGTGATGATAATCATCTTGCAGATTCCTTGCTAATCTCGCCTAATTAAACTGGTATCAGGATATATTGTCTCACCACTTAGGCCACGATACACAGCTCTGGTCTGCAGGCCCTCTCCCTGAGACCGATCTGTAGACAGGCTGCAGCTGAAGGCTGTCTGGTTTGATTTATCAGTACTGTTGCATACAACCAATTGACATTGTATATATTTGTTGTTAGCTTCATGTATACTTAATGGGGTTCAGATTTGATGGTGTGTATCAGGGGGCTTTAATCCTTGCAGACTTGCTCAATACATGTCATACATGCCCAATTATGTAGATAGATGCTCGTGATGTCAATCACTGGATTGTCTGGTCCTGTCTTCACAGGCCTCCGTCATAAAGCTGGAATAGGGTGGTATTAAACAAAAACAAAAGAGGTCATACACTCAATGGTATTCAGGCATTGTATGTGTCCTGTTATATTACATACCCATTTCATCTTATGACATCAGTACAGCTGTGCAATACTGTGAGCAGAGGCCAATTCTGTATTGCACAGGAACTTCAATAGTGACGTTTAGAGGTACATTAAAACTGTCCGTGTCATGAAAAGGGTATGCAATAAGTACAGAACGCCATACTTGTACATTTGGACCATATCTATTGAAATCGAATGTGTCACATTATGAGAGAAATGAGTTCGAAGAACTCTGACCATGGCATATTCTCGTCCAACACACAGATTGAAATGCACGAGTATGACATTCCAAATCTATATATACAACCGGGTGAGATCTGCATGGAGGCTTTGTGTTTCAGTGGATGGCTGAGACTGGCACTGATGTTTTATCTTTACATGTTTACAAAACCAGTTGGATTTTTGCATTTAGTAAGTAGCACAAGTTAGGATGACTTGTGACTGAGTCATAAGTTACAGGTCACTGAGTCACAGGTCACACAGTCACAGGTCACTGATTCACAGGCCACTGAGTCAGGTCATTCAGTAACGTGAATGAGCCACAGGTCACTGGGTCACAGATCTCTCTTGCCACTGAATCCCCGATTCTTCCGATTTGTCAAAGTAAGCGACTGACCTGTAACAGTGATAACAGTGCAAGTAGGAATTGTTCTTCGTGTTACTGAGTTGATCTTCTGTATCCCTGGACCAGCCCAAGTTGGTTGAGAAAGGTCTTTTACAGCACTTTAGCTTTGTCTAAGGTAATAGTAGATGGTAGCGAGAAAAAGGAAATTTCCCGCAGAATTCGAAACTGTGAAGTGTATTTGTGTGCGTGATATATTTAGAATTTTATTGGACTTCAAAGTGAATGTTGAAGAGGAAGGACATATATGGCATCCTGGGGGTTATACTGGATGCCTCCAGACACATCCTGGTCATAAAGCTGAGAGTTAATCTGGATCTATCCAAAAACATAACATAAGACCATTGGCCAATCTTTAGTTTCTGCTAGAATGTGTCGACTTGATATGGGTTGAACAAACCATGGCTGGCGAGCATGCACATTAGTTGCAGGGAATGCCTAATTGTCTGGTCAGTAACTTGTCAGTAACAGTAAAGAACTCCAGTGACCTGGTGAAAGTAAACAGGCATTTTGTGTTGATTTGATGTTCGTGGAATAACATCAGTATCAGTCTATATGGGAGATCAGTAGGTGTGTTCTTGGCACACTCTATGTAGATATGCATGACGTAGGAATGTGGATGACATGTGAAATCCTGACTAATGTACAAATGTGGAGCAGAAATTAGAAAATGTTCAAACAAACTAGGTATAACCATAGCCCCTAGTGTGTTTGATGTTTCACTTTTTTGTGGTTGATAACGTTGAAGTCAGCTCTGTCAATCAACAAAATAATGAAAAGTTTTGACTATGTAAGTAACTTTTGTATATGATAGAAACCCAGAAGCAGTACCCCAGAGTTATGTGCCTTGACTTGTGCTCCCTCGTATTCTTCACAGAGTGGACAGTGGTGCCAGAAGGGTCAGGCAATGGAGGCAGATGTCCTGATGGGCCTTCAAGGTACAGCATCAGGTAAATATGCAAACATCGGTTTAACCCCCCAAATGCTCAATTTACCTTATCTGATGCTGTACAGTGCGTTATTCGACTGACATGGAAGGATTCATGTATCACACTGGTGAGTTTTCAAAGGATAGTTCCCAGCACCCAGAATGTTTATCGAGGAATAAAACCAGGTGTGTCCCTGAATTACCAGTGGTCACCTGAATGGCTGTTGAGGCCTGATGTTGCAGTTCGTCTGTCAGGCCATGGTCACTGGTTTCCCAAAACAAGCTGCATTCAACAATCTGGTGTTTTTGACGATTGCATTGCTCGCGCTATATCGGGAGAGTATGTGCGCAATCGGAGTGCACAAGCAGTTTCATAGCTGGGCGGATGCCCAGTCGCTGTCAGAAGAAGTTTGATTGACAATGAAAATCCGGAAGTTAAGTTATGTACAAAGCAAACAAACATCAATATTATTTACCTGAGATCGTTAATACCACTCCAGATGTAAAATCAATGGCCTATATAACAAAAAATAGCAAGCGATAGAATAGGAAGCCATGTGATCACAACACCCCAAGGAGGGCGTAACGAAAAGTATGGCTCATCGTCAAACATCCATACAAAATCCCCGGATGTGGAGAGCGGCAACGGTTTTGCTGATACGAGTCATCCTATATCACTCAAGGTTAGTGGAATAAAAACAACTTTCAATGATGTTAACAATAAAAATTATGTTTTTCTCTTACATCATCAAAAACGGATTTGGTCAGCTCCTAAGCCAGGATAAGCAGGCTGAAACTATTTGTCCCATGTCTTCTATGGAAATGCTGTGGACATAACATCCAGCAAAGACAGCCATTGATGTACGGAAACAACTCTCCGTGATGGTCTGGACAGAGATGTTGGCATGATGGGCCATCCACGACGACAGAGTTCCGATCTTGTGTAGATTGTGGGCATTTAGAGGTAGCATACCAGGAAAGTGATAGGCAAGAAGGAAATGGAGTGGGTGTTGTGTTTCGCGTCTGTGGTGACATGGTTTTGAGACTGGAATGAACAGGCATTGACATTGTCTCTGTGTGAACACTAGGAGATATCGTCGGAGGAAATGAAAAGGACATGAGATCCAGAAGATGGTGAGGCTGTCCAACTTACAGGTTTTGGAGTCTGCTTGTTTAGACATACAGTTTAAGATATCAGATGGTGTGAGCCACCAGTCCACAAACATGCATATGGGCCATGGAAATTCAAAAAAAATTCCCACTGAAAGATGAACTAAGAGAAGCGACAATGAACTGCATGGATGTGTACATGAAGGTGGATATTCTGTAGGTCGAGGCAGATAAGATGGTCTATTGGCTGGATCAGATGGTAGAGAGTATGGAGGGAGAGCATCTGAAAATGCCAAGGGTGAGAGAGGTTCTTTCAAACCAGGAAGAGGGGCGGTGGGGTAGCCTAATGGTTAAAGCGTTGGCTCGTCACGCTGAAGACCCGGGTTCGAATCCCCACATGGGCACAATATGTGAAGCCTATTTCTGGTGTCCCCCGCCGTGATGTTGCTGGAATATTGCTTAAAGCGGCGTAAAAACCCAACTCAGTCAGTCAGTCAGTCAAACCAGGAAGATGAGAGAGTAAACGCCATGTCTGATTTGGGCGTGTGGGGCTTCCA